TTGTGACGCGAGCGGTCCGGGATTTGGGATTTTGTGACGCGAGTCATTGGCTGGAGTCACAAACTGGTCCGTGAGGTCTCTGGACCCGGAAGGTCGGCGGGCAGTTTGGATTCAAATCTTGTGAGGCGAGAGATCTGGGATTTAGGATTTTGTGACGCGAGCGATCGGGGATTTGGGATTTTGTGACGCGAGCGGTCGGGGATTTGGGATTTTGTGACGCGAGTCATTGGTTGGAGTCACAAACTGGTCCGTGAGGTCTCTGCACCCGGAAGGTTCTTTCTGCGACGAGAAGTCTTGGCTGACAATAGAGGCCTCAGAAGCCCGACCCACTGTGTCACGAAACCAGCTTGCCGAACACTATCATTTCTCACAAACCCGATCTGCTCAGAGGCCCTGGAGGTAGCGACTCCAGGCAATGCCTGGAGTCACAAAGGCCTGTCTCCAAGCTTGCGGCTGCTGGCCTGCGGGGTGTGGAGACCCCGCAAGCTAGCAGTCGCAAGCTTGGAGACAGGCCTTTGTGACTCCAGGCATTGCCTGGAGTCGCTACCTCCAGGGCCTCTGAGCAGATCGGGTTTGTGAGAAATGATAGTGTTCGGCAAGCTGGTTTCGTGACACAGTGGGTCGGGCTTCTGAGGCCTCTATTGTCAGCCAAGACTTCTCGTCGCAGAAAGAACCTTCCGGGTGCAGAGACCTCACGGACCAGTTTGTGACTCCAACCAATGACTCGCGTCACAAAATCCCAAATCCCCGACCGCTCGCGTCACAAAATCCCAAATCCCCGATCGCTCGCGTCACAAAATCCTAAATCCCAGATCTCTCGCGTCACAAAATTTGAATCCAAACTGCCCGCCGACCTTCCGGGTCCAGAGACCTCACGGACCAGTTTGTGACTCCAGCCAATGACTCGCGTCACAAAATCCCAAATCCCGGACCGCTCGCGTCACAAAATCCCAAATCCCGGACCGCTCGCGTCACAAAATCCCAAATCCCCGACCGCTCGCGTCACAAAATCCCAAATCCCCGACCGCTCGCGTCACAAAATCCCAAATCCCGGACCGCTCGCGTCACAAAATCCCAAATCCCAAACCGCTCGCGTCACAAAATCCCAAATTCCCGACCGCTCGCGTCACAAAATTCCAAATCCCCGACCGCTCGCGTCACAAAATCCCAAATCCCCGACCGCTCGCGTCACAAAATCCCAAATCCCCGACCGCTCGCGTCACAAAATCCCAAATCCCGGACCGCTCGCGTCACAAAATCACAAGTCCCCGACCTCTCGTGCTACAAAATCCGAAATGCCCGGCCTGCTACTTGACTCAGAGCTAACGGCCTGATGATACTAGTCTTAGTCTAATATTATTTCAAGTGACTCCAGCCAATTTGGTTCAATGCCTCCAAGTGTCTGTTTTTCATCGATAATATCCCAAGACATTGAAAATGTTCATAAACACAGAAATACGACTAATTTAAATAGTGTTAACAGTCAGCAATGAGATTCTGAAACCGTTCAATCTTTCAATCCTAAGACCATGTTGAGAAAGCACTAAGCAGAACTGCTTTTATTTGGCATTGGTTTAAAGATGGGCAGAGGCTCTGGCATCCTCGTTTAAGCAGCCCACCATGACCTTCTGAGGCTCTGGCATCCTCGATTTATTAAGCAGCCCACCATGACCTTTGCATCATTGATTTGTTTCGGGCATTAGGATCGGGGCTTAAGTACATGTGCACAGTCTCTGGCATCATCGTAGAACCAGTCCATGATAACTTTTAGAGTAATATGCCTTGAATGCTTAACAGTACGAACCAATTCAATTCAATATAACTGTAACTGTTTCCAAGTTACAAATGACCCGGCCTATGTCTTTCCCCAGGCAACATGCAGTGCGATGGGGGCTCGCCAAGGCCTCGGCACTTGACGTTTTGCTGCTGCTAAAACTTAAAAAAATTAGGGTGCGGCATGGACATTTAGGAGCATGCTGCGCGGGAAAGACATAGGACGGCACAGTTTTGGTCATCTGGTGGCAATCTACTTTGGAAATAACTTTTGTGACTCCAGTGGTCGCCTGGAGTCGCAAAAATATGCCTTGAATGCTTAACAGTACGAACCAATTCAATATAACTGTAACTGTTTCCAAGTTACAAATGACCCGGCCTATGTCTTTCCCCAGGCAACATGCAGTGCGATGGGGGCTCGCCAAGGCCTCGGCACTTGACGTTTTGCTGCTGCTAAAACTTAAAAAAATTAGGGTGCGGCATGGACATTTAGGAGCATGCTGCGCGGGAAAGACATAGGACGGCACAGTTTTGGTCATCTGGTGGCAATCTACTTTGGAAATAACTTTTGTGACTCCAGTGGTCGCCTGGAGTCGCAAAATTGCGGGGGCTGGTAGGGCACCCGTTTGTGACGGGCCAAGGCGTTGATGTGATACCTGCCTTTGACATATTATGTCGCTTGTGGCAAACAATGACAGACTTTAGGTTCAGCCATCATTGCAAAATAAAAGTCACTCAGTTTTCCTAATATCATCATCACAATAACAGTAATAAGAATCATCTTTTGTGCTGACACTGAAACCAGGGGACCACTAAGCAGAGTCAGAGTTACATCTCAAATAAATTGGCATTGGGTAAGCTGGATAGTTTACCTCTCAGGTGTCTCCTCCTGGACGTCGCACTTTGTTCAATGCCGTTGGGCTCGCCAAGGCCTTGGCGCTTGACTGCTTACTGTTGCTGCTTTTTCCGATTGTTCTGGAAGTTCTGGTTATTGCGGGCTCTGAAGAAGAGCCCGCAAATTTGTTTTTGTTTTCGCGTAGGCCTTAGCACTTGACGTTTTGATGCTGCTAAAACTTAAAAAAATTAGGGTGCGGCATGGACATTTAGGAGCATGCTGCGTGGGAAAGACAAAGGGCGGCACACTTCCAGTCATTTGCTGGTAATGTACTTCGGAAGCAACTTTTGTGACTCCAGTGGTCGCCTGGAGTCGCAAAATTGCGGGGGCTGCTATGGCACCCGTTTGTGAGGGGCCCAGGCGTTCATGTGATAGCTGCCTTTGACATACTAAAAATCAGCTTCAGTCACTGCTGCCGTGGATAACACGAAGTCCGTTTCCGACGATCATCTCAGGTGTCTCCTTGTGGACTCTCCTCATATTTTGAATTGTTAGCTGGGCCTGGGTTTAAACCGGCCTTGCTGAAAACTGTAACTCCTGCGGGTCAGCTAGGATGAAAGAGGTTTAGTAGCTGCTCTATAGCAGGGGTTGCCAATCAATCCACATAGTACCTACTATTATTATTATTATAGATATTTAGTTATACTTGGCCTGCAATCCAACCTTCCCGGACGGTTTAGCCCCAAAGTACTTCTGGCCTAGGTTTTGGGCTTTAGGTTTTAGGATGGTTTAGGGATGTTTAGGGCTTCAGGGCTGCAGGGTATAGGGTTTCACGGTTTTGGGGTTTAGGGCCATTGCAATCAGCGAAGATGACTCGAGATGTTTACGATATTTCTGATAACCGTTCTGGCGATGATGTTGTAAATCAAATTAATTAGTATTCACGATCTTGGACTTTCATGCTTCCATCCGAAACATAATAAGGTGATGGTATGATGATGGTAGTTGCCTTTTAAGCAGACAACCAAATACTGGGTGATAATAGTAGTTTGTGGTATTCTGCTGCTATCGAATCCGAATGACACTCTAATTGGCTGTCACCGTGCAATTCTAAGACTTACTGCGTGCTACTATGTTCATACTTGGTTCGCGTCAATGTCCATTCGGGCTAGACTAATCAAGTTCAAGGCATCACGAAGGCACACGTCATCCCATTACTGTCTTGAATGAACCTGAAACCAAAGGCCTGCGCCAGAGCTGTAGATTGAGAGCTTCAATCACAATGGCTGGAAGCTCGACTGACTTGTTGGCTGCAGCAGCGACAGTGACAGAGACAGGGCTTTCCAAGGGAGTTTTCGGTCAAAGAGCAGTGGGTGTCGGAGGTGAAGGGTGCCGTGTTGCGAGTGCTCTGAAGCCACAGCGGCTCTGACCGTCCGGGGTGCTGCGCTCTCCTTGTCTCGGAGCAGTCATGGCGGGGAAACGGAAGTCTGTGGGCTCCAATGCTTCCGCATCCACATCTGCTGGCCCTGGAGGCAGTAAGCAGCCAAGGCGTGGTGCAAGCACGCGGTCACTAGATGCCAGCTCCGTCACGTCGGAGCAGATCAGCAAAGCATGCTTGGATCAACCGTGGATGCAGATGTTTCAGGATTGGATGTGGGGTCCTTGGTGTCAGTGAGAATGCAGCAAACATTGGGAAGCCGACAACATTCCACCGATAATCATTTTCATAATGTCTTCTTGAGGCGAGAAAGGTGTGATGAGCACCAATCCATGGACCTGTACCTCAAGAAAATCTTCGAGAGCAAGGAGCCTGCCGGGAAGAGTACTGATAAGTTAATGTTGGTTTTACATTTCAACGTGGTTTCGGAATGATGCTTTGAAAACAAATGGCAGGAGAGCCGCGTGAAGTTCTACCGTTGGCAGAACGAGCACTTCCCGGCCGAGACTCACGTGTGAGCTCCTAAGCAGCCTCCTGCAGCATCGGCCCGCCCGAGTGTACTCAGGAATGCCAGCTCTTGTGTGTACAAGTGAAAAGTCTGTTGTAATCGACTGCAAGGGAGTATGCCACGAGCTCCGCCATCCGTGCGCGCGGGGTCGTACGGCTACGTCCATGGATGCTCCCGATGGACAATCAGATGGGACTCAAGAATGTCCTTGAGCCTGTGCCTAGTCTGATTATTGGGCTGACACAGTCTGAGTCTGACTGACTGTCTGACTGTCTGTCTGTCTGTCAATGGTAGTTAGTCTCATGCTTGCTGCAAGGACGTCTTGCTACAACTGTGTCAGTTGATGGTCATCAACGGGTGCCTGGGAATGCACGGAAATGCATCAGAATCAGAGAAGCAATATCGACGTTGCGCCATCCTTGCCTCCACTTTTGAGTCTGAGTCAGGCTGATGACCAACGCCGACCTCCCCGGAGTGGAGCGGCTCACGATCTCCGAACCCCTGCGGGAGTATGGGCTTACCCCATCCGTGTGGGTCGAAGCCTCCGAAGTCCTTCTTGAAGCAAGCGATCTCGCGTCAGCGGGAGCCACCTTCATGATCAAGGGATGGTCGCGCAGCATGGCTGCTACTGTGGTCATGCTGGCTGCCTTCGAGAACCAAGACTTTGCACAGGTTGCTTGATTGAACTGTTGTGTCCAGTCACTTGATCCAATACCGCGGCATGACAGTGCATTAATGTTTTCGTGTCAAGGCCTGGCCGTCAGAGGTTCAAAAGCAGCCCGGCTTCCAAGTCATGATGTCCTGCGGCCGATAGACTTAGAGCTGACTGCAGGAGTTTCTGCACCTGCGAGTGCAACGTGGGCCTGGATCTTAGTAGTTATCGACCACATGACAATGACTGATTAGAGCTATGAGAGTAGCTTGAGTGCCCTATCATGCTTTGCATTTTCATTCAAGGACTCGACATCGCGACAGACGACCCGTCTTGCCTGGTATTGCACAACCGCAGCCTCTAGACCGAAATTGATTTGCAGCTTGACCACGTGTCATTATAGGCTTGAAACTTGGTTGGGACCACCCAGTTGCCAAGCATGGTCAGGCATAACGATGGCAAGCTCGGTGAGGAGACGCCCCAATTGCTTCAACCTGCTGGCACAGCTACGACTCCTGGGGAAGATGAAACGCGAGAGCCAGGGGTCTCTCGAGGCCATGTGACGGTTTCAGTGCAGGCATCCAGAGCCGATTTGTTGCATTGAACTGGTGTGTTTCTAATTCACATCTTGCTTGAAGTTCAATCAACTTCAAGGAAGATGTTTTCTTCCGGTTCTTACTAATTACTAATTAATTATTAATTAAAAGTATTGTGAGTATTAGTTTGATGTCGTGTATTTACTGGATGCTGTGATTCCGACCACGGTTTTGTGAGGCCCCTGTGTCATCGCAGGTTGTACTTACAGTAGAACATAATACATTCATCCGAGCCAAATATTGCTTAGTAAGCATGCGAATCCTATATCAGAGTTCCTATGATAGACACCATGAGACACTTGAATCCAATGTCCGATGTCGACGTTAGCCTCCGACTCAGCCTCTGTCAGACCTGGGAGAAGGCGGCCGAACTGGCCGAAGCATATTCCTTAGGCCGTGCGGAGAGCACGGCTGCAGCGAACCTGCTTCAGAATGTGCCCGATGGGATCGTGCATCGATTGGAAGCGCTGGTGCGGAGCCATGGAAAGCAAGTTTCATGGTAGACCTTAAACTCAGCCTGGCACTCGAAGTGTATTATTATTAATTATTATTATTATTATGCAGACAGAACTTTAAGACACCAGCGCAACCACGTCAATTTTCAGTGTCTCCGACGTCCACATCTCGTTTGAAGGAGGTTCACCATGTCCAAGTTCATCGTGCACGACACAATAGCCGCCGGGATCTTCAACGATCGCTTCCTTTCCACCGCAGCAGCGTCATGGAGCTCGCATTGCGAGAACGATGTGAGGCTCTTAGGCCTCCTTCTAGACCGGCTGCAGGGAGATTTCGAGAAGCAGCACCCGAAGATGAGAAAGCCGTGGACTGCATCTCTCACTGTGGCTAGGCCAAGATTCTGCTTCCAGTTGTTCATTCGCTCATTATTCCTAATCAGAAACACCCCTTTAAGGGGACCCTCTTTGTATACCTCTCTTTAAGGGATCCCCAAGCGTCCCCCAAATCCTAGCCCCCATTCATGTCCTGAACGCAGCAGACATGTGGTGTTGATCTGAGAGTCCGGCATATTTACATGCCACAATTCAGGAGCCACTGCAGCGGGTGTGTGGCATCTTTTTGCATTGCATGGATGTGTTCGAGCAGAACTACCCCCAGCAATTCGTGCAAGATGAAAAGGCCTCACTGATGCAGGCGTTGCTTGCCTCGACCTGTACTTCCCACTCGTTTGTCATGCCATCCATTTGCGTGCGCTTTAAAACAATCTGGACTGATTTCTACTCGAGGTTCCTGGCAAGGCATGCTGATGCGGATCTGAACACGTTGCTGGAGTCGGGTGTTCCTCCAGCCGACCTTCACAGTGTTGGTGTGTTTCGGACGGTCTTGACGAAATATGCCAAAAAGGCCGGGCGGCTTTAAGGGTTCGGGGGTTTAGGGGTTTGGAGGTCCAGGTTTAAGTGCTGAGGGTTTAGGGTTTGGGGCGGGGGTTTAGGCTTTGAGGCTAAGGGTTTAGGCCTAGGCTTTATAGGGATTCCCCGGATGTGCCAGGCCCAGGATGCCAAGAACCAAGCAGATGCGAAGTGCTTGGGCCGCAGGGTAAGAGTGAGACGTCAGATTGCCTTTCGAAAGCAAATCTATGTGACACTGAGCTCACTGTCAGGGCCGCCGAGATTATCGCTTCGGCAACGTTTCAGCAGACGGAGACCGGTGTCAAGGCTGACATGGAAACGATCCTGGAGTATGCCAAGCGGCTGCAGCAGCACAATTCGCGGCAGGCCTTGTGATTATTATTGTCTTGGTCCGGAAGTCACTTGATTCGAGAGTTATCTTCAAGCCCCCTTTGCTGTCTGTCTAATTGCGGGCTCTGAAGAAGCGCCCGCAAATTTGCTGCTGCTGCTGCTGTCTGTTGTTGTTGTTGCTGCTGCTAGTCTTCTGTTGTTGTTACTGTTGTTGTTGTTGTTGGGCTCTGAACAAGCGCCCGCAACTTTGTTGTTGTTGTTGTTGTTGTTGTTGTTGTTGTTGTTGTTGTTGTTGTTGTTGTTGTTGTTGTATTGCTGTTGTTGCTGCTGCCTGTTGTTGTTGTTGTTGCTGCTGTTGTTACAAACACCCTTTGTCTGTCAGGGCGGCCTGGATTTGAGATACTTGGAGACTCGGTGCAATCGCGGCAAAGAGAAGGTCAGCGAATGGATGAAACGCTGCCACCAGCATGTCATGCTTCCGAACGCGATCTCTGACGCTCACGGGTATGTGATTCAGTATCAGCAGGAGCATGCAAAGGATCAGTCGCAGCTTGCCATTCTGTATGATTCTGTGATGAGAGCAACCTGCTTGTCGTGTTTTGGCCGCTGACTCTTAGTCTTCAAGCCAAGGCAGCCTTGGATGATCATGGTTTTGGATCTGAGCGTTTGGCCGCAGCGCTTCTTGGGGCAGTATGCTGTTGATAACGTTCCAATGCATTTGGGTCACCTGAAAACTACTAAATTAAACGGAACCACTGAAGGAGCGATTGTGGTCGACGAGGCGTTGGACGCTGCAAGGGCCATTTCTTGCGGAAACCTGAATGCTATGCTGTTCGTGCTTTCGGTGGTACCTCACAGCTCGGCCGCCCCAACGAATGTCGTGAAGAACAAACGATTGGTGGAAGACAAACTCTTCGCGTGGGTGACTCATGATTCGCAGAGCGGCCTGACTGTCAATGTCCGAGTTTGGCTTCTGGTTGACTACTCATTGTCAGGTCGTGGGACATGACAGAGGTGAACATGACGTTCGCTGACAGCGGTCATGGCGGTGATCGCCGCAAGAAGTGCCAGCAGTGCGTCTTGGACTAACCGTCATGATTTAACATGCTCCGGCGTCCCAACTAGTTGTGATTGTTTTGAAATTTGCGTACTGCTGAGTATGATTCCTAGTTGGATTGAATTTGTATATTCTTGTTTCAACTGACTGTAACAATGAACAATAATAATAATATCTATTTTAAAATACTCTCTTTATAAATTCCCTCACGAGTGTGGGGCAGCTCGGCTAATAGCCAGATTCGTCCTAAAGTCGAAGAGATGCCAGGCTTCATGGCAGCGGCAAACATCCATGGCACCCGGTGGCCATGGCTTAAAAGCAAGTGCCATCAGGGTGGCCTCCTGGGGCCGGTGCAACGGGCCAGGGTCATGGACCTTGTGGGCGGAGATGACGAGCGTGGTCTGTCTCCTGCTCAGAGAGCCAGGAGCTGAGTGGTGATTTCATGCGGCTTAATGAATGGATTGGACCTGTTTCAAGGTGGGACAACGCGGCACGCAAGCAGCACAAGAAATGCTGATGGCTTTGCTGGAAGGCATGTCCATCAGCGGGGTCGTGGAGGTCGTGGAGCTCATGCCTTCTAGGCTCCCACCAATCTGTTGGTTTGCTGTCACTGTGCTTCAGTGACAGTTTCCAAATAATGCTAAGTGCAGCTGTCCGTGAGGGCAGGAACTCGCTAATGCAGAGGTGGAACGAGCTGAGCCGCGCAGTGTTTGACATGCAGCTTCCCAAGTTGAAGGGGGCAGAGACTGGGGACATCGACTGGAGGTTTTTGTCCTTGCATGCCCCAACCGACTTCGACAACTTGGATGTGGAGAGCAAGACCTGCCAGATCCAAGGCCGAGCCATGACGGTTACTTGTCATTGAACTTGTTTGGTGACTTGCTGCGGTGTGGTCGTGATACTTCGAGAAGTGGTTAAAGCTGCTGATTCTGATCTGATTGCTGCGGAGGAATATTGGGACAGTTGCTCCGAAGCCGGACCGAAACGACGACCCCGCGATGGCAACGAACCAGAAAGCCCCCCGAGCCTGCAAACTTTGGTTCTGGAGCAGGGTGCTGTGAAGCCACCCGGCATTGACTTGATGTTTCACCATGCCCGTTGATTTCGTCATGATTTCGTTTGAGTGCCATTCCATTCAATGCAGGTTGCCCCAGGCGGTCAATGAGAGCCTGGGCACCAGATCAAAGGAAATGGACAGTGTTATCAGGAGTTTCAATGAGGAGAATGCCCAGCTTCTGAAGTACACCGTGGTAGGTGGCGGTCCTGGCACGGCATCTGGCGGGAGTACAAGGAGTCAGCGGCAGGAAAGCCGCACCGGCTGCCGGCCAGCCTTTGATGCTGAGGATGACATCGTCATGCCCACAACCCTGTGGCAGCCGGACGACTTGCTCAGCCTGGAGGAGTTTGAAGCCGCCAAGGTGACGCTTGGATGATTCTGGTGTGCCAGAGGGCTGTGGAGGGTAGTGGGTGGGGGTGTTGGGGAGGGGAGGGCGGTCGGTCCAGTTTGAGTGCTGAGGATCGAGCTCCAGTGTGGTATGGCCACGAACGAGCACCTCCACATCTGCATCGTGAAGGATGGCAGCGGCAAAGGAACGGTGTGGCTGCTGAACAGAACCGATCGACAGGTGGAAGCTAAGGCCGGTGAAATGTTCGGCTTCGGCCTTGGCACTTTCGTGGAGAAG